CCTGAAACTATTCGCAAAAGCCATTGCCCTGAGAGTCGCAAAACACCTCCCCCACTTGGTACATTCGAATCAAGTGGGGTTTATCCCGGGTAGGGAAGGGAGAGACAACACGATTAAGGCCTTGAACATCCTACACATAGCACGAGCGCGCCGTAGAGAACTACTACTACTTTCCACCGATGCCGAAAAGGCTTTTGACAGGGTGAGCTGGGCGTATCTGAGGAATACCCTTACACACATGGGATTCGGCCCCAACATGCTGGCCTGGGTGCTCTCACTGTACACGTGCCCCACTGCGAGGATCCGCATTAACGGGGCACTCTCAGCCCCTTTCCCTATCAGGAATGGCACCCGCCAGGGATGCCCGCTCTCCCCCCTCCTGTTTGCCCTCTCCCTGGAACCATTTCTGGGGGCGGTCAGACGGAATGGGGGAATCTCTGGATTTGACCTTGGTCGTCACGAATACCGGGTAGCCGCATATGCAGACGATATGCTGTTCTTTCTTACACAGCCGTTGATCTCGCTGCCCAACCTCCTAGCATCCTTCCGAGAGTTTGGGGCACTCTCTAATCTTAAACTTAATACGGATAAGTCCGAGGCTCTCCACCTCCCACCCCCTACAGGCCCCCCAACACACCTTCACACCCAATACAAGTTTAAATGGTGCGAAACTAAATTAAAATATTTGGGCATATGGCTGACCAAAGACCCGTCCCAATTATACCGCCATAACTATCTCCCCCTCCTACTCTCACTTCAAACAGACCTTAAGAAATGGACCCCATATTACATCTCCTGGTTCGGACGTATCAATGCGATTAAAATGAACGTGTTACCCAGGATACTCTACCTACTCCAAACAGTGCCAATTACTCTCCCCAGAGCCTTTTTTAACTCTATGACGACTGCCATCCGCAGGTTCGTCTGGAACTCTCGCCCAACCCGAATAAAAAAATCAACCCTGGAACTACCAAAACTGATGGGGGGCACAGGACTGCCCTCCATAGAGACATATTACCGCGCCGCTCACCTGCACAGACTGACGGACTGGCACGCACAACACCCATCAAAACAATGGGTGACCATTGAGCTAGAACAAACCGATAGAAAAATACCCTCTAGGCTTTGGCTACATACAGCCACATACACTGACCTGCACACCGAGAACCCACTAATTGACGCAACGCTCCGAGTGTGGATAGCTATACGCTACCGACTGCAACTCACAAGTTCTCCTAGCCCCTTGACACCCATCACACATAACCCAGACCTGGCCGATGCTCTAACCCCGCAAGACCTAGCCGGCCTCCAGCAGGCAGACTGGATGTACCTGCACCAATGGCTCGACACTCAGGGACTTAAACCACTCAGAAACCTCTGCCCAGATAGACCACCGACGATACTCGAACAATTCAGATACCACCAAGTTAAGACGTACTTCATGTCCTTACATGGTCGAGGACACCTGACTAGACCCCTCACCAGCTTTGAACACCTGTGCGTACACCGAACACACGTACACAGAGGTATCTCCACTATACATACCATACTCAAGACCCAAACTAACGAAGATGTGGTGCTCAAATTTAAAGATCATTGGGAGAGAGACTCGGGGGAAGTCCTTACTGTGCAAGACTGGGACAAGATTTACACTCTCACACACAAATGCTCTATCAGCTCCAAGTACCAGGAGCTGAACTACAAAATTTTAACACGCTGGTACAGAACCCCTGACGTACTCAATCGCATGAACGTAGGTGCCCCGGACACCTGCTGGAGATGCGGCTTGCATACCGGCACGTACTTCCACATCTGGTGGCAGTGCCCCGAGATCACCACATTCTGGGAGAGGATCAGGGTAGAGATAAACAAAATCACAGGTGCGGAGCTAATCCTAGAACCCCTAACGATGCTATTACACCACACCCCCACACCCGTTAAGACATATAAGAAATCCCTCTTGCTGCCACTACTCAACGCGGCAAAGGCCCTTATCCCAGTGATGTGGAAACAGAGGGGGGCGCCTACCCTCCAGCAATGGGTGACAAGGGTGGAAGAAATCCACTCAATGGAGTCCTTAACTGCAGACCTACACGGTAGACAGGAGCAATGTGCACTGACCTGGTACCCATGGGAAACATACCTAGCCAACAGATTAGCAAACCCAAACACGGCCCCCCAGAGGCCCGCAGTTGACTGACTCAAACAGAGCTAAGCCACCCGGCTACCCCTCCCTCCAAGGTCCCCTGCCTCCTGACCCTTTCCCGAGACTGGACATTAGACAGAACCCCAACGACCGACTCTGACTAGCTCGTAAATGGGGCTTATCAATACGCACACCCACTGTAATCACAGGTGTAAAACACACAGGAAACCGAGAGCCAACCTAGAGCTGATACCGGCATGAAAATATCCCCTCCTGGCCTCCTAGACCGATACCCAGAGTGTCCTCCCACATGACAAACTATACCGATAGGCATACAAAAATATGCACTAGCAACTGCCAACCCACAATAGTGGGGAACTTAACCAAAACCATCACACTTTGCTCTCAACCAGGCGACAAGATGGCCTTGAATGTTAATAAGTGCTGAGTAGTCTGGGGAGGAGTTAAGGCACTAAAAATATCTTTTCTCGCTAGCGTGACCCTATACCATGCCCAACAATATATATATATACATGTCAAGCGACAAAAAGGCTCCTGACACTACTGGTACGAAACGTGAAATGAGAAATGTAGCACGTCAGAAAACATAACCCCCACAGCTCCCAGACTAGACACCGATTCATACCCTACACGTAAAGCGCACACCATAGGTGCAATAAACTGCGCATTGTAGGCTAGTGGGGATGCGAGTCTAGAAACTTGACCTTAAATAATCCTATCTAAAGCATGTGATGGAAACTATAGAAATACTGTCTGAGAAAACTGTTTTGAGAATGTTAAAACAATGGTGACGAATGTTGTTAAGCTATTCAGAACACTGATGTTAAAATTGACGTTATACCGTTACTACATCTTTCCTTGAAAAAATGATAAAATTTGAAAATAAAGATTGTCAAAAAAAATAAAAAAAAAGTCTAGATTACCTCACCTTTATTAAGATGAATGAGGGATGGATCCCTAAGGGACTGACACTGGGCGATACATTAGATTAAAAAAGGCCTGATGAGATGAGCTGCCTTGGGCTAAAAATGGTCCACACGCTGCTGTATTTTAGCTCTGAATGCCTGTTGACTTGCGTGACTGATCCGCCACCAACTTGGGTTCAAGCCGCCATCTTTTAGGGCACTTTCTGCCTGTGAAACAAACATCAGTTATAGATTGAATAGCAGTTAGTTGTCTCAAAGCGGGTGTCAGGCTCACAGTGGATACTGTGCCCAGTGCCACCACTCACCCACTGGTGTCACAATAGCTTGGATTTAAAAACAAAAAACTTTTTTCACTGTTATAGATTGAATAGCAGTTAGTTATCTTCAAGCAGGTGTGTCAGCCCTACAGCGTGTACTCTGCCAGTACGCTGCCACCTCCTCTACTCCTCCTACTCCATCCTCTCCATAACCTCCTCGGCTTAGTCCTCTTCTGCTGCTGCGTCTTGCTCCACATCAACGGATAGGGGGCGTAACAGTGATT